GAACTAGGGAATAACCTCATTTTATGATAGTCAATCACTTCACCACTTTGCAGTGTGAATCGCCCTATATGTTCTAGAGTAGACACTTCTCTTAAACCAGTTAATAATAAAAATTCTGACACTTTGTACCCTCTAGGCCATGGATATGCTTGATCTACCCAATCAGGATATGGCTTTGTATAAGTCAGCCTAATGATAGGACGTACCCCAAAAGCCATTTGATCATGTATTATCTCCATGATTCAATTCTTCAACATGACGTTGGGATCATATGGAATTCCTTCAGGCTGGTTTAGTGGTTGATTTGTTTAAGGCCTAACATTTGGTCATTGGTTGGCAACAAAAATGTAATTATTTAGGCCATTATTACCATTAACCTGAGTATTTAACCTATCATTAACGCGCGGGATGTTCTGTCTATTATTCAGGACATTGTCTCTTATATTTGGATTACCCTCAGGTTTGTAATCNCTTATATTTGGATTACCCTCAGGTTTGTAATCTCATTACCACCATTCAAGTTTGGCATTCCATTACCCCTCTGATTTTAAGTAGACTGACCGAAGGGTGGTTCTAATCCTTGATTTGAGTTCAAATCAGGAGAATTATGTTCCACAATCGTCCTGGTTTGAAAGTGGTTTGCAATAGGCACAACTAGCTAACACATTTGGCCTACTAACTTATTCATTATGTCGTTCAATGTATTCAGTAGTTTGGTCATGTTGTCATAATGTGCATTCCCATTTTGGGTAATTTTTTTTTCATATTATGAATATTTCGTAGATTCACCCGTTCAACGACAACCTGTATGAGTTCCCCAAGCAAGGTACGCATGGTTCGAGGACTCAACTCCACCATTGGCTCGTAACAACTTTGACTGTTTTGACTCTGTCCCTCTGTTCGTGGAGAGTTTTGTTACTCCTCATATCGCTCGATCACAGACTGGACTACTCCATGACTTGCGGTTTCTTATGAGGCATAATGTTTCACTTTTTTTTATTTTCATACACCAAATACCAATTGTCCCATTGGACGTGCCAAGTTATTTCGCGTTTCTTATGAGGCATAATGTTTCACTTTTTTGTATCCTCAAACACCAAACACGAATTGTCCCATCGGGCATGCCAAATTGTTTCATGCGGGTTATCGCTAACAATTAAAAAAAGGATCAGACGATTGTGTAAGGAACAAACCACTTGAGATAAAGTCCCAAAAATGGTGCTTTATTGAT